TGCTTTGCTAAGCTTGTTCTAAGTAGGTGCTTTAGACCACTGAGCCATCTCTCCAGCCCTGCCCATATTTTTTTAATGTCATTTGTCTTGATACTTTTTTTTTTTTCTTTCTGAGACAGGGTCTTGCTATATAGCTCAGGCTGGCTTCAAACTCATGGCAGTTTTTCTGCCTCAGCCTCCCAAATGCTGGGATTACAGGTGTGTGCTGACATTCGTAAAGGGATTTTATTTATTTAATTAATTTATTTATTTTCTGGCATAACGGGATTGAACTCAGGCTCTTGTGCTTGCCAGACAAGCGCTTATTCTACTGAGCTATCTCTCTGGCCCCTGTAAAGGGATTTTAAACCAGAAGCTGTTCCCTATAAACTTTCATCCTACTAACAGCTTCTCAAACTGCCTTTTATTCAATACCTAGTCCAGAAACACTTCTTTTAGGCTTAAAATCAAAGTATGTATGTCTCACACATAAGCTTACAGTTTTTCCTGAAATTCCATTTTCCAAAGGAGGAACCCAAGGTAGTCTATGTGATTTGAGGCTCTTGGTCACATCTGCCTCTCTTCTATTTTTTTGCTCTAATTTTCCCCAGTGTGTGCTCTGTCAGCAGCCTTCCAGAGCCACTGTCTCCCCACCCAGGCTCTCCAAACTTCCCCCATCCTAGCTCTGATCCCTTGCCCATGTTTCTTCCTCATAGCCCTCTTCTGGCCTGGGTTTATTCCATCAGCCTTGACCACTCTGAACTGCCCGTTTGGAGTTATATGTATTGTTCTACTGAACACTGTGTGCTTGGCATCTAGCCCAGAAGAGGTTCAGTGAGTGTGTTAAGTGAGGGTTCCTGAAGATCCTGGAGACTACGACAGGGCCTGTGGTCACCCAAGTGTCCAGAATACCCCTTACCAGGCAGAGCTCCAGCTGGTCACAGAGTGCATAGAACTCCTCCAGGCACTTGTCAAAGCGCTGTATGGGTCCATCGCTGCTCTTTCTACAATCCAGGAGAAAAGGGCCACTAAGGAATGGATTCCCAAACTCTGGGACACAACTGTCTACTCAACCAACTGTTGTTCATCAGGTAACCAGGCACTTGGGCCTAGGAGATCAGAGGCAGGGCTTGATAACAGGAGGGGGGAGGGTGCTGAGGGAGGAGTTTCTAGGCTGGAAGATAGGATATCCTGGGAAAAGGAGCCATACTCACTGTCCGTTATCAATGTTAGTGTTCTGAATCAAGTTCTGGGCAGCAACCTTCATCAAAGTCTAGTAAAAAAAAAAAAAAAAAAAAAAAAAAAAAGGCAAAGGAGATGGAAAAATAGAAGAAAACATAGTATTTTTGGTACAGCAATACTGTTCCTTGAAATCCACCCAATGTCAGACCTCCTCTGTGACACTCCATAGTTATTTACTTTTTTTTTTTTTTTTTTAATATAGTCCAGGGGGCTGGGGCGATAGCTCAGCAGAATAAGCACCTGCCTGTTAAGCGCAGGGTCCTGAGTTTAATCCCCAGTACCCCTCCAAAATATACACACACACACACACACACACACACACACATATTCAGTCCAGGGTCTACTGGGCCTATGTAGATTGCACTCGAAGTGATTCTCCTATTTTCAGCTTCCCAAGAGCTGGGATTACAGGTGCATGCCACCACGCCCAGTCTCAACCTCTGGCTCGGCGCGTCCGGGGGCAAGGCCAGCCTGGAACACCAGGGATTGAACCCCGGCTGCTGCACTATACCTAAGCAGGCGCTTTAGTCTGCTGAGCTATCTGGCCATAATTATGATCATTTTCCTTTTTTAGTTTTTCGAGGCAGGGTCTCAATATGCAGTTCAGGCTGGCCTCGCACTCTCAGCCATTGCTGGGATTAAAGGCGTGCACTACCACGCCCCGTTCATTTCCATTTTTTTTTTTTTTGAGGCCCGAAATGCCTTTAGGGCATTTCTGGTTTGCAGTGACTGTCTGGGTTCGAACCACAGAAGCTTGAGCTTGAGGGCTTTAAGGAGGCACTTAAACAACTGAGCTACTGGGCAGGCCCCCCCCCCATTTCCATTTCTATAGCAATCTCCCCTTTATTTTCCCAGAGGCCTACCCTCACCCGGAGTTCCCAACAATAACTTCCCGGACCTAATCTTCATTTCTAATTAGGAGTAGAATCTCTGTACAGGCCAGTACTTTCTTCAGGTCTTAACGACGAAAGCTTGGTTACTCCCTTAAATTGCCTCCAACCTAGTCCTACCTCAAAGAGCTTCGCTTTGGCCTCACAAAAAAAGTCCTACTCTTCCACTCCTACGCTCTCTCCTCAAATAAGCACCCCCTGAGTAGGCCACCTTGGAGTCAGACCACCAAATCGCGCTAGCTCCTTCCTCGAAGCTGCGGGCCAATCACCTGCAGACTCTCCTTCAGCTGTGGGATAAGCATCTTATAACGCTGTACGGGGTCAAAGTCTTGTTGCTGTTGTTGCAGAAGCCCGCTCTGGGCAGGTCCCACCAATTGTGCCGGCGGTTGCTGCTGCTGTTGGGAACCCGGGCCACCAGCCGAACCCGGACCTGACACACCAGTAGCTGAGGCAGCCGCCGAAGCCTGCTGCTGCGGCGCAGCCATTTTCCTCTCTGACAGCGCCGGAAGTGCGTCACACGCTCTTCTTTCTCGGGTTCTTTGCTTCTTCAGCCGTGGGGCCTACTAGTTAGCTCTGCTTCCCCAGACAATTCTATCAGCCCTACCAAACATCACTCTCGAATCCGATGTGCAGACTGCAACAACGTCGTTTCACCAATCATAAGAGGGCTTTCCTCCCTCGCTCCGCCCTTTATCAACAACTGGCCAATCCATGTGTGGTTTTGCTCCGGACTCTATTTCCCAGAAGGCCTCGCGGCGTCAAGCGACAGGCCCGGGTCCTCAGCTCCTGAGCGGCAGTTGGTGGAGGTGGAACTCTGTCCGTCCTCGGACTTGCCTGCGCGTTTACTGAGTCGTTCCCGGAGCTTTTCCAACCACCTCACCTCATCCCAACCCCTGCTGAGAGCGGCGGACCGGAACCCTGTCTGGGAGCAGGCGTTGGTTGAAGTTGGCACGCCCCTCGGCCTCCGCGTCCGCTCGCGGCGCAGCGAGGACCAGGTCTTGGCTGCCGTCGCCTCATCGCTATGGCGCCCACTATCCAGACCCAAGCCCAGAGGGAGGACGGCCACAGGTAGGTGCCACGCCACCTGCTTTACTGCTTTCCCTTGGGGCCTGTCTGGGTTTCAGCAGGGAGGGGATCGAGGGTGACGGTATCTGCTTACAGTGCTACGGCCTCCAGGTGTGCCCGTGAGGTCACGGAGCGCGTACCTTTCTTTGACAGAGGCAGCGGGTTCTCTCTGGCATCGGGTGTTGCCCCTTTCTTTCTTGCTATAGAGTTCAAAAATGACACCGTTGGAAACTTCAGTAATGATCTTGTACCTCTCTCCAGTCAAGCTTTTTGAAAGCTTTCTCCCCAAAACATTTGAGGACATAGTTCTTAAAAGCACTGGATGTTCCTTCCCAGAGGGCTTGAGCCTAAACTCATTAAAGCACCATCCCTCTGTCCAACTTTTAGGAATGCAGAAGCCTCTTTCATTCTCCTGTTCTGTTCTTTCGATCATGTTACCAGTATCTCTCTTTCCCACCAGGCCCAATTCCCACCGGACTCTGCCTGAGAGGTGAGCTTTCTGAGGGAGGGGGAAGGGGGTACGGAGTAGAGGTGAGACAGGAGGGACCCAGTTTTGACCTACTGTTTTACTAGGTCAGGAGTGGTCTGCCGTGTCAAGTACTGCAATAGTCTCCCTGACATCCCTTTCGACCCCAAGTTCATCACCTACCCCTTTGATCAGAACAGGTAAGAACAAGATTTGGGATGGGGAAACTACTCAGAAATAGGAGTTCCTTTGCGCCTAGCACAGTACTTTCTTAGGACCTAATAGCAGGTGCTCAAAAAATACTAATGGAGGCAGTAGTGCACACCTACAGTCCCACTCTGCTCAGGAGGTAGAGGCAAAAGGATTGCAAGCTTTAGGTCAGCCTGTGCAACTTAGCCTATCTCAAAACACTAAAAGGGGTGAGGATGTAGCTTAGTGGTGGAACACTTGACAAAGATGTATGAGGCTCTGGATTCAATCCCCAGTACAACAGAAACAAAACCTAGTGATCTGGATGTAATATCGCATACTTGTAATCCTAGCACTCTGGCAGGCTGAGACAGGAGAAGCAAAAGTTGAAGCCCATCCTGGGGCAACTTAATGAGTTAGCAAGACCTTGTCTCAAAATAAAACTAGGGCCAGGGGGGTGTACCTCAGTGGAAGAGTTCAGTTGGGCTCAGTCTCCTATACCACAACAGCCCCCCACCCCTCCACCCAATAAGCAGTACCATTTCCCCTCCCACTGGACAGCTGGCTTGCTTTGACATGGGAGCACTTCACACTTTGTGAACTCTTCCCCAGAGCAGTTTATCTTCTGGGAAGCAGGGATGTAAGGGTGAAGCTGGAATCTAAAAACCAGAACTTGCAAATTTCCTCACCCAGGTTTGTCCAGTACAAAGCTACTTCCTTGGAGAAACAGCACAAACATGACCTCCTGACTGAGCCAGACTTGGGGGTCACCATCGACCTCATCAACCCTGACACCTACCGCATTGACCCCAATGGTATGTGGGGAGATGGAGACGGTCTGTGCTCAGCCAGCAAAGTCCAGGCCTGGTCTTCCCTCATGGTTCTCCTGTCCCGCTTACTGTCTAGTTCTCCTGGATCCAGCTGATGAGAAGCTTTTGGAAGAGGAGATTCAGGCCCCCACCAGCTCTAAGAGGTGAGAGGTTGCCAAGTGGGCAGAAGACTGAGTGGGAGGGCATCCTGTGTGGAATCTTGAGGTTCTTGATCTTCTACCCTAGGTCCCAGCAGCATGCAAAGGTGGTGCCATGGATGCGCAAGACCGAATATATCTCCACTGAGTTCAATCGTTATGGCATTTCTAATGAGAAGCCTGAGGTCAAGTAAGTTGCAGATGGGAAGGGAAGGTGAAGATTTCAGGTCCATCTACTGGTCCCTAAAAAATTTTTTTCCATCTTCAGGATCGGGGTTTCTGTGAAGCAACAGTTCACTGAGGAGGAAATATATAAAGATAGGGATAGCCAGATAACAGCTATCGAGAAGACTTTTGAGGATGCCCAGAAATCGGTAATTGACAGACTGGGATAGGGAAAAGAAGATGCAGATAGAGTGTGGCTCCATCTCTTCCTCATTCCTCTCATCTTGTGTCCTCCCCTCCGCTTCCTGCAGATCTCCCAGCACTACAGCAAGCCCCGCGTGACACCAGTGGAGGTCATGCCTGTCTTCCCAGACTTTAAGGTTAGGCCTAAGGTGGGAGTTGGAAGGACAGCCTCTCAGGGCTGCCTGTGTCAGACTAACTCCAGTGCCCTCTGTCTTGCCAGATGTGGATTAACCCATGCGCTCAGGTCATCTTTGACTCAGACCCAGCACCCAAGGACACAAGTGGTGCAGCTGCCCTAGAGATGATGTCTCAGGCCATGATCAGGTGGGCCTGCTGCCCACCTTGGGCTGTTCCTTGTTGTCCTTTTGCCCTCATTTTTTGTTTTTTGGGTTTTTTTTTTGGTGGAACCGGGGATTGAATTCAGGCCCTTGCGCTTGCCAGCCAAGTACTTATTCCACTGAGCCATCTCCCCGGCCACCCCTGCTCTCACTCATTAGTCTACCTTCTTCACCTAATTAGGGGCATGATGGATGAAGAAGGGAACCAGTTTGTGGCCTATTTCCTGCCTGTGGAAGAAACACTGAAAAAACGAAAGCGAGACCAAGAAGAAGAGATGGACTATGCACCAGATGATGTGTTCGTGGGTTGGGTTAGGTTTGCGGGATTGAGAAGTTCCTCTCCTCCCCCTCAGGGACTAAATGGGGCTGATTTTGTGTCATTCTCAGGTATGACTACAAGATTGCTCGGGAATACAACTGGAATGTGAAGAACAAAGCTAGCAAGGGCTACGAGGAGAACTACTTTTTCATTTTCCGAGAGGGTGATGGGGTGTACTACAATGAGTTGGAGACCAGGTACTTGGCATGCTTCTCATTAACCTGCTTTTCTGCTTCAGACCGGGGTCAAGGTAGGCAGGGTGGTACATGCCTGTAATCGCAGCAGATGGAGATAGAATTGAGGTTAAGGCTAGCCTATGCAATTTAAGTGGGCCCTTGTGTCAAAAAAAAGTGGTGGTAGCTAGGCGTAGTAGTGCATGCCTGTAATCCCAGCACTCGAGTGGGATTGAGGCAAGAGGTCATTGTAAATTTGAGACTAGTCTGGGCTACAAAGTGAGCTCAAGGCCTGCCTGAACTGCAGAGCAAGGTGCTGTCTCAAAAAAAAAAAAGTGTTTGGTGTAGTCAAGTGTTAGTTATCAGGTAAGGCTAGAGGCCCTTAGAGCTTTTGTGTATGATGCAGGACAGGCAAGTTTTCCATGATACTTGAATATGTATGTATGTGTACACACACACACACACACACACACACACACACGTATGTATGTTTGGGGGGGGCAGTTCTGCAATTTGAACCAAGGGCCTTGACACTGAGCTACATCCCTAGCCCTTTGGAAACACGGTCTAAGTTGCCTGGGCTTGACTTACAACTTTTGGTCCTGCCTCAGTCTCCCAGTGCTGAGATGACAGGTGTGAGCCAGTATGTATAATTTAACAGAAATGAAACATCTGATTATCTTAACTTCAAAAACATGACCATAAGATGGGCATGGTAGCACACACTGCAACCCCAGCACTAAGGAGGCTGAGGCAGGAGGATTGCTGTGACGTGAGGCCAGTCAGGGCTACATAGTAAGTTAGTAAGTTCAAGGCCAGCCTGAAATAAATAAATAAATAAATAAATAAATAAATATCCTGACTTGAAAACAAAACCAAAATTATGACCCTGCAGCCATACAACAAATGTGAAAGACAATAGAGAATTGGTTGATTGGGTGACCTGGAGCTGCAAGGAGCACCTATTTCAGCCCGCTGTTGTTAGGGACAGAAAAGTTCTGAAAGGCCAGAAATCCAGATTTGATATCTCATACTTTTAAAGTGTTAGTTGATAACTAATTCATACAACTGTGACATCTAACACATGTACACCATAATTTTTCCCCTGGTGTGCTCTGGGTCAAGCACTGACAAGTCAGAACAGACCCCTCACTAGAGGAGTCATTTTTTTTTTTTTTTTTTGAATTGTTCCTCCATGGATATCTTTAGTAAAAGATGAAAGATTTATATGATCTGGGGCTATGTGATCTGAAGAGAAACCAGAGTGGAAGGGACTTTAACTGCATTTTCCACTGATCCTTGCAACTTATCCTCTACAGGGTCCGTCTTAGTAAGCGCCGGGCCAAGGCAGGGGTTCAGTCAGGTACCAATGCCCTCCTTGTGGTCAAACACCGAGACATGAATGAGAAGGAATTAGAAGCCCAGGTAACAAGCATTTCTGGCCTAGGGCCCCTACAGGAGGGTGGAAGTGGGTGAGGACAGAGGCCTGGCATCATACCCTCCCTATTCCAATCCTACTTCTGCTTCTAGGAGGCACGGAAAGCTCAGCTGGAAAACCACGAACCCGAAGAGGAGGAAGAAGAGGAGATGGAGGCAGAGGAGAAAGAAGCTGGGGGCTCAGGTACAGAGGGGCAGGCTGGACCCAGGAAGCCCTGGAAGGGTGAGAAACTGGCTCTGACCTCTCCTTGTTTCCTCCCAGATGAGGAACATGAGAAAGGCAGCAGCAGCGAGAAGGAGGGCAGCGAGGATGAGCGCTCTGGCAGTGAGAGTGAACGGGAGGAGGCTGACAGGGATGAAGCAAGTGACAAGAGTGGCAGCGGAGAAGAGGAGAGCAGTGAGGATGAGGCCCGGGCTGCCCGAGACAAAGAGGAGATCTTCGGTAGTGATGCTGACTCGGAGGATGACGCGGACTCTGATGATGAGGACAGAGGACAGGCCCGTGGTGGCAGTGACAATGATTCGGACAGTGGTAGTGATGGGGGTGGCCAGCGGAGTCGCAGCCAGAGCCGGAGCCGCAGTGCCAGTCCCTTTCCCAGTGGCAGTGAGCACTCAGCCCAAGAGGATGGTAGTGAAGCCGCAGCTTCTGAGTCCAGTGAGGCTGACAGCGACAGTGACTAAGCCTTGGGGCTTTTGAAGAGGGCTGGAGTGATACCATTCTGAGAGCAGGGGGCACTTTTGTAGTGGCTTCTGTGAGCCATTCACTTTGTTGATTCCCCCATCCTTCAACCTTTGCTGTTAATAAAGCCAGCTCTTAGTTTCCCTTGCCAGTGCCTCTGGTCTTAATTTTGCCCAGCTCTCCAACCCCCCACTCCAGGTGCTCAAGGGGCCCAAGCTGAAGTCAGAAGCAAAATAACGAAGATCAGAATCTTTTTTTTTTTTTTTCTTATTTTTTTTTCTCCAAAATAAGCCCAGACCATTAAACAAGTGAAACTCCAACAAGTCAGTCTTCTCCAACAGCGAGAAAAACTGTACAATTACTCAAAGCTGATTCTGCCAGCGGGGCTGGGGACAGAAGTAGGTGGGGAGGGTAAAATGGAGGAGGGCTTGGGGAGAGTGGAAGGGTCGGGTCCTGCCCATCAGAGTGGGGCCGCCTGCGTCCGGCACTCTGCTGTCAGGGAGGGCATGGCTCTTGCCTCCCTTTGTGTGTGGGAGGGGGTCCCTCACCACCTCCCAGTGCCAGCCAGGGTCGGTTCACCCTGATGGGGACTGAAGATGGGACCAACTGGCTGGGGAGAGGTGAGAGTCCCATGAGGACACCCTGCTGATTCCAAATGAGGTGGCCCATCCGTCCCACCTCCTATGGTTAGTGGGAGGGGGCTGGAGAAGTCTTGGGAGGTTGAGGGGAATGAGCAAAGGCACAGAAACATGGAGGGGCCGGGGTGGGGACTTGCATAGGTTGATGAGTGTGCAAGAGGTACATAAATAAACCTGACACCCCACCCAGCCCGGCACTGGGAGAGGAGGTGGGGATCCAATGGTAGGTCCCCAGGGCCACTCTACCCCCTGGTGTCCTCCCCCTCCCTGGGCTCAGGGTGGAGGGAGGTCCGTGGTCCAGCAGGGCAGGGGCAAGAAGGTCCAGGGAATGGGCTGATAGTGTGGGGAGGGTGGTGGTTTTCAATTTTTTTTTTTTTTTTTTTGTTTTTCCCAACATTTTGTATCTTTTAATAACATACACAATGGTTACCAGCCATATTCATAACAAAAGTTATTCATAAAATGTATCTAAAAATAACATTTTTTTTTTCCTTTTCGGTGAAAAGCTTGAGAATGTCCCAGTGGTGGTACGGGTTTGAAGGGGAACAGGAGGTTGGAATTGTGGGACCCTGGCTTTCCCACAGTGTGAACCCCCAAATCCCCTTCCCTCCACCTGGACCCCAGTACAAACCCTCATCAGGAACAGGGACCAGAGGGTCTGTGTAACTGGGGCTAGGACATGCCTCTGGGTTATAAATGATATAGTGTTCCACTTACATGAGGTCATGACATAATGGGAGGGGAAAAGGCTGAAAAAAAAAAAGGGGGCAGAGATAAAATCAAAACCAAACAATCCCCTTCCCATATTCCTAACTCCCAAGTCTTTCAGCAACCAGACCTGAGAGTGCAGAAGGATGTGTTGGTGTGGGAAGGAGATGTTAAGGCAACAGACTTCCTGACCTCACCACTGCCCTGGCTGTCCACCTTCAACCTCTGCACCTGGTAGCCAGGGCTGGGGATGAGGACTGGGAAAGGGGTCTGGAGGAGGGGGCTCTGCCCTCTCCCCACATAAAGTCCAGGCTCCCTCAGCCACTGTCTTGGCTCAGAGGAGAGCCTGGAGATTCTAAAAATGACAGGGAATGATCAAAGAGAAAAACCGTTAAGAACTATATAAATATGTATCTTAAATAGACCTAAGAAATTAATTGTAGAGAACCTCTGAGAAATGGGTGAGCAAGGTGAACAGGTGGCTCCTGTCCTTGGGAATGGTGGGAATGGGGAAGGACAGAGGAGAACAGAGGCAGGGCCATCGCTCTCCTCATTTTCACCCTCTCCATAACATCCTGGGCAAGCCAGCAGCCTAGCCTGCTCACTCTTCCCCAGTGTCAAGATGCTCCACAGGCTAGCAGTAAGTGTGTCTCTGGGGAGTCTGCTCCCATAGGGAGCAGCAGACTGTCAGCTGTCTGGAGGAGGCAGGGGTGGGACAAGGCCAGAAGGTGGAATGGGGAGGAAGGCAGTTGGGCCAGTCCTTGCCCCATGTCCTGGCTGCCCGTTCTGTGCCCTGGCCTCAGCAGAGATCCCTCAACGGGCCTGGGAGTGAGCAAGGTGTGTACCAATGTTAAACAAAAGTTAAAGAGGGTGAGGGAGTAGAAAAATATTAGACTGTATAGCTGAGCCAGCCCACCCTCTCGCTGCCACAGCAGAGAAGCCCATTGGGGGCTGGACCCCGCCCGCCGCCCGGGGAGCCTATGGGTGCGCTGGGCTGTGGGAGATCCTGTCAGATGGTGGAGGTTTTGTCTGTCCCATCTGTGGTAAGAAAGGGAGGAAGGGAGGAAGATCAGGAGCTGGTGGTAGGCCCAGGAAAGGCACTCATGTGGCCTGTCATCCCAGGCGGGCCCTCCCTGGAGTCTGGCCTCCCCTTGGGACCCTCAGGATGACTCTGAGTTGCTCAGTTCAGAGATGGAGATGCTGGGTGGGTGGGAGCTGGGTCAGGGAAAGAGGAAATGCTCACCACCCAAGGCGTGTTCTGTCATGCTCAGACACAGAGACTCCAGGGTGGGATTGATCTCCAGGTCAGGCCCAGGGACCGGGCAGTCTGGGTGGGAAAAAGGAGAATGAAGGTGGTGAGGCGAGTACAGAATGGACTGGCTGGAAAACAGCTGGGACAATAAGCTCCAGTTCAGAGGGCAGGGGACAAGAGACAGAAATGAGAGCTTGTGAGGCATGCACTCTCCTGGAAGACACAACAGGCAAACAGGAAGGACAGGGTAACAGGCCTGCTGGTGTCACAAATCAGGGGAGATAGCAGCAAGAACACAGGCTAGGTAATGCAAAAAGGATGAACTTGCAAACAGAGGAAGTGATGGGAAACAAAGGACCTTTCCTGGAGGCCACAGGGAGGCTATGATTATTTCAGACACATAATGTAAATTGCACTGGGTGGTCTGGGTATCTGTCCCACAATCCCTGGTTGATGACCTGCTATCTGTCCTTGGTACAAATGCTAAATTAAAACCCTTCCTGTCCCTATGTGGACTTGTTCCTCTCGGCAGAACGAAATCCACACAGGCAGGCAGAAGAGGTAGGGCAATGTAGGACAACAGCCATGGGGCTCGTCCTCAATCACTTTTTTTTTTTTGGCAGGGGGTACCAGTGATCGAACTTGGGATTGTGTGTTTGCCAGGCAGGTGCTTAGGTCACTGAGCTATATCCCCAGCTCCTTCTCATCCACTTTTTAAGTGGGCCTCCTTCCTATTCCAGCACCTGGGAAGCAGACCAGACCAGATCCCTGGGCAGACCTGGCTTCACCACAAGCTACTTAAAACTTCCTCAGATTCTTACTCAAAGAGAAGGAGGTCTGTACCTGGCCCTTGAGTTAGGAGCCCCAGCTCTCATTTCCAGCCTCACCTCACACCATCTATCCAAACCTGGAGCTCAGGTCCTATCAGATCTCTCTCTCCTAATAACCTTTTTTTTTTTTTTTTCCCAGAACCAGGGATTGAACTCAGGCCCTTGTGCTTGCCAGGCAAGAGCTTATTCTACTGAGCTATCACCCCAGCCCTAACATCTTTTTTAGGGGAGGTTTATTTTTTGTTTTTGGTGCTGAGGACTGAACCCAGGGATTCCAGCTTTGTAGGTAAGCATTCTACCGCTGAGCCAAATCCCCAGCCCCAAAACATCTTTTTTGGAAGTCAGGGTCTCACTATGTACTTCAGGTTGGCCTTGAACTCACTCTGTAGCCCAGGTTGGCCTCAAACTTGAAGTAATCCTTTCCTCTTGTCTCAGTCTCCCAAGTGGTGGGATTAAAGGCAGGGGAAGGCAGTGTGGTATGCCTGACTTTAAAAACACCTTTTGAACTTAGACAAGTCACTTTTTTGTCTCTGATTGGCTGGTGACTGTTAAGATTGGGTCTTCCCATTTATATCTGGAAGGATTCAATTTACAGGGTCTGACAGCTGGGCACACAGCACACTGGAAGGGAAAATAGTTCTTAGGTTTTGTTCTTACAGTTCATCTTGCCACTCGTTCAGCATTATTTACCTAAGATTTTCTACTGATGTGACAATTTATAACATCAAGCGGTCAGGGTCAGGGCCAGCAACATAGCTCAGTGGACTAAGTGCCTGATTAGGCAAGCGCAGGGACTGAGGTTTGATCCCCTGTTGCAAGAGCCCTGCCCCCAGGGCCCACTGAGCTAGCCACCAAGACTGGGCGTGATGGTGCAATCCTGTAATCCCTGCACTGGGGATGCTAAACACAGGAGGATCACTACGAATCCAAGCTACATAGTGAGACCCTGTACCGATTACATAAAACATGGTCACCTGAGAACCTAAGATCTGTCTAGGGCTCTTCATCAATGATCAGCCAAGTGTCCAGCAGCGGCCCCAGTAGGGCAAGTCAATTCCCTTTTTTTTGGGCGGTACTGGGGATTGAACTCAGGGCCCTGCACTTGCTAGGCAGGCAGTTACTCCACTGAACTATCTCCCTAGCCCTCAATTCCCTCTTGTCCAGCAAGGCGGGCCCTCTTATTTCCTATCGCCACCTGTTCTCTTGATTTCTATGAGCAGAAGGCAACTAGCCTTCCCATTTCCAATACCCTGAGAAGCGGAACTTTATCTAAGAGGTGGAGATCACTGGCTTCTGAAAGAATGAAGGTGGCTGATGGACAGGATGCCCCTCCACTGACACCTGTCATTCCCTCTACCCCTTCCAAATTGAGTAATGATTCTGTAGAGAGTAACAGAAATCATTAAGGACTCTTATAGGGAGGGAAAAGTGTGGTGATGAGGTAGGAATAACGGGTGAGAGAAAGTGGTGCAGGAAGAATGAAAGCAGGAACTGAGACAACTGAAACAGAATGAAAAAATCCTCTCCCTGGGTAGGGACAGATGGGTGCAGAGCAGTGGGAAGTACAGGGTAAGTTGCTTTTGTAGTCCCAAGGAGACAGTGACCATGAGACCCAAAAGAGAAAGGTCAGCTAAAGAGTTTGGCAAGGCAGGGTACCTCACCTGGAGGGAACATGAGAATGGCCTGGGGTGACGAGTGGACCGGAAGTGAGTGGGTGCGCTGCACAGAGCTGCGACTCTGGCTGGGCATGCTGTTGCTGCCGCCGGGGTTGGCAAACCACAGGTTCTGCACAGGACACAGCAAGAAGTGGAGGGGTGAGTAGAAAACAGGCTGGGGCCCAAGAATAGGGGAGTTGGCAAAGGAATGCCCTTCCCTCTCAGTGAGGTCCAAATGCAGATACATGGACACGTACATCTCAGGCACTGCCACTGCCCACAGAAGCCCCGGGGTCTCTGCTTCCAGTTGGCTCACCTGTCGGCCCTGGCCTCCAAGGCTGGGGCTGGTAAGGGCATGTCGAGGGGAGACGCCCCCAATGCCTGAGGGGCTCAGGAGGCCCATCCTGCCAGGTGGGAGGGCCCGGGGAGGCATGGGGAACTGCCGCTGGGTCCGCCGGGCCACCCCCATCCCCACAGAGCCAGCTATGGGGAGTGAGTTGGAGCCGAATGCCCAGCTGTGAGAGAGCAAAAGGCAGGATTGTTAGCTTAGGGTGGATGGTGACTATCTATTCCCCTCTCCCTTCACCTTCCCCACAACTCCAATGGGTATGACAGATCAGGAACCTGCTCTGAGTAAACATTCCCTAACCACATCCTTGTATCCTCCTAACCCAAAGGTATCCCTCAGAATGGAGATAAGGAATATGAAAAGTTTTTTTTGTCCATTCAAAACAGTTCTCTGAACTTCACTGTTCAAGAGACAGACTTCTGTCATTTGTTCAGTGCAAGAAGGGATATTAGAGCTCCTGCATATAGCTGAGAAAGGTGCAGATAACACATAACACATGTGTTATCTTTTGCCAGCTTAGCATCTAATTATTATTTTTATTTATTTTTGGGGCAGAACTGGGGATTGAACTCAGGCCCTTGCGCTTGCCTGGGAAGCACTTACTCCACTGAGCTATCTCCCCGGCCCTGCAGAAGGATTTTTTTTTTTCTCCAAATGCCTTCAGGGCAGGTTTGGCTGGCTTGAGTTGTGGGGATCGAACCACAGCAACCTGAGCCTGACCGCTCTGTGGAAGCAGCCACTTAAAGAACTGAGCTAAGGGGCAGGCCCCTGCTTCCTATTTATTCTTTTGTAGTGCTGGAGACAGAACACAGGGTCTCATTCATGCTAGATAAGTGTCTACCACTGAGTTACACCTTCTAGTCCTTGTATTCTATTCTACTGGTAATATCCTGATTTTTATGAGTCTCAATGTAGCCCAGACACAACTGCCTCTCTAAGCAGTGATATGGCCAACCATAAGGGCCTAGGAGGCACTCGCCTACCCCTTCTGCTGCCGGTAGCTCTGCATATCCAGAGCAGCTTTGCGTGGGAATGTCCGGAGGAGCTTCAGCACTTGCTGTTTCCAGGACAGCAGCCGCTTCTTCTGGGTCTCCGTGAAAGCCTAGGATTGGGGAGTGAGGGTGCTGTTTTCACACCTGCCTTCCCTGTGCCAGGCAATGCTGGGCACAGAGGTGGCTGTGTCTGTGTAGCACACAGCGTATGTGGGAAACACACACGTACGATGGTAACTGAGCAAGGTCACCTCTCCCAATGAGGGCAAAGAGCAAGAGGTGTGCTACATTTGGCAAGGATATTGAGAGCTGCAGGTGAATGGGAGGGAAGAGGCTAATCCCAACAGGAATATATACAAAGCCTCTGAGAGGCTGCCCTTGAAGCCAAGGCTGGTGAGATGAAGGTCTGGAGATGCAAGCAGATGGATGCCAGGCAGGCCCCTTGGAATGCTAGTTCTAAGAGGGATAGGGCTAGCCCTTTTTCTCTCTGAGCTCTGGAGATCTTACCTCATGAGTTAGGCACTTTTCGATGAGCTGGAGGTAACTGGTGATGTTTTCCTCATCTGGTCGGGACACCAGAAGCTGGGTACACACTGGGGGATACAGGGAAGAGCAGTTTAGCCCCAGCATGCCTCCCATGGTCCTCCAGACTCCTCAGCCCTAGCTGGCTGGTGCAGGACAGATAGGAGATTCCATCACCACCTGGGGTGTCATGAGCTAGATATCTAAAGCACCCACCACAGTGCCTGACACAGGCAGATATACAGTTAATAAATACCTTTTAATTCTTTTTTTTTTTTTGGTGGAACCGGGGATTGAACTCAGGCCCTTGCGCTTGCCAGGGAAGCGCTTATTCCACTGAGCCATCTCCCCGCCCCCGATACCTTTTAATTCTTAACAGCAGCAACAATGTTGTCTTTTTTTTTTTTTTTTTTTTTTTTTGTTTTTTCCCTGTATTTTTTTTTTCCGGGAAGGGTCCACAGGATGTTCAGGGTCTCACTATATCAGACTCATAGTGATCCTCCTGTTTTACAACCTCCCAAGAACTGGGATTATAGGTGCACGTCACCACACCCAGTCTCAATTGCATGGCAGACCTGGGGATTGAACCCCCAGGCCCTGCACTTGCTTGTAGGCACTTTAACCCACTGAGCTATTTGGCTGGCCCAACAATCTTGTCATTATGGTCATTTTTAGCCTGAGAAACTTAGTCCCAAAACAGCCAGGTCAGTTGTCTCAGGCCATACAATCAAAAAGGTATAAGGATCTAACTAGTTTTCAACGCCATGCTCCTTCTGCAAAAGCTAAACTACCACAGCTTCACTATCCCCACTCCCTAGATCTGTGTTCCCTCAAAACCTCTGATTTCCCCCATCTATTCACCTTCCACTGAATGCAGACCCTTTTAACACTGTCCCATGTTTTGTTAAGGATGGAGGTTCTTTGAGGACAGGGGCATCAGCTCAGTCTTAGCTTCTCTCTGCAGTGCTCATGTCCAGGAGGCTTTAAGAATCCCTGTCCCACCATGTAACTTGGACCTGATTACTGACGCCTGTATTCACCCGGCTCTCTGCCTCAGAATTTTAGTAGGCCTTAGCTGCTTTTACCTTTGCCCATCACTCGTGTAAACTGGCTGGGGATGTCTCCATCAGCAACAGGAGCTGGGGCTGGCTCACTGCCATCAGTGGGAGCTGGAGTTGGTGGAGGAGGGTAGTTCTCCGCAGCTGAAGGGTCCTTGGCCTCAGTGCTCTTGTCTGTGCCGGGATGGGCTAGGGGAGGCTCAGCACCTGGCAGCAGCGGCTCTCCTCGACCCCCATCTTTGGCAGTAGGGGTGACAGCAGCGGCAGCCACAGTGGCCTGAAGGACACTGTAGGCCTTGATGGGGGTGATGATGATTTGCTGTAGCTCCTGCAGAGCATTCCGCAGATTCCCACCTTCCAGCACATCCTGTGTCGGAAGGACATGACTGGGATCACATGTAGCCCCACAATGAGGCACAGACAATGCCTACACAAGTGAGGCCCAACATGCCTTGGAGGAGAAGGCTGGTACCCTGGGTTCAGGCACATAGAGAAGACAGGTAAAGACACTGCCAGCTCACACAAAGACAGACACGTACTTGTACACAAACATTCCTTCCCCTTCAAGGTGGAAGTTCATGGAGCACAGAAGGTAGTCTAATATTGGGGCCTCAGGGTCACAATAAGGAGAAATCAAAGATATCATCCCAAGACAATGAGGAGAAAAGCAGCAGCCAAAGACAACGATCAGGAAGAGACAAGGAATGTAAATAGAGCTTGACAGAAGACAGTGAATGGGTAAGAAACAAACAAATGGGAAGACAGAACACACAGACGAACAGAAAAACTGAAGGGGAGGAAGAGGTCGAATTAAAAGAGTCTGGGGTCACAAACTTGGACAAACATGGAGGGAAGCCTCCTAGCTACCAGGAAGTAAGCTCTTTGATGTTGACTTGCACATGAGTTCTAGAGTTTGGCTCCCCAGGGTGGAGGCCACTGGAAGGTAGATCTGCACTTGATCTTAGCCAAGGCTGAGAAGTGATGGAAGTCAGATCTGAAGACTGGGAAAGCCCAGAGAGAAGATGGCCCAGGCAGCTGGCAGCAAAGGTGACTCAAAGCCCTTGATTCAGTGGCAGACTCAGCAACCACTTGGCCTTGGAGATGGGACACCAGGTCCTCACCTTCTCTAGGGACTTGAGAACGCTCTGCCTCTCGCGCAGCTTCTGGATGCTCAGGGCTATCTTGTGACGGGCCCCTTTGGTGACATTCTATGAAAAGAAAGGTGATAAGAAGCTGAAAATGGGAGGATGAGGTACTTGGGGGTGTCTCGATAGAGACTAAAGAGAAAAAACTTGGGTTCCGAGGATAATGCCAAATGGTGCTGTGCCCACCACCTCCTTGATGGCCCTGTTGGCATTACCTGGGACTCTAGGTGCTGCTCAGTCAGTGTCATCATTTCCTCATAGCTCATCTGCGAGAAGAGGGCAGCATACTTATGCAAGCGGAGACTCTTGAGCCATGAGGGTACATCTGTGGAAAAGGAGGGTGGGTGAAAGGTTTAGGAGTTCGACCCTGGGAACAAAGCACAGTAAGGATTGTGGGGAGAGAACAGGACTAAAGTGTAAGCAGCCTTAAACCTACAGAAATGTGGGAGAGGTGAAGCCATAAACTACATCTGGTCTGCAGAGTTCTTTCAGGTGGAAAGTGTTAAAGATACTTTAACACTTAACAGGGAAACTGTTTAATACAGTTTCCTTTAATACTTTAACAGGGAAACTGTTAAAGATATCTTACTGATTTCTCTAAACACTATCAATCAGTTACTTGTGTGACAAACCTCCTCTATTAGACCAGAGCCTGTGTGAGTAGATGTGGGGGTCTCTACGCCAGGTCTAGAGCCCAAAAGGCAGGGACTATTCTAATCTCCTTGGACCCCTCCCCTCCTCACAGTGGTAGGCAAGTGGAAGCTAAAACCAATTTTATATCATATAAGCTCTGCAGAAACCCTGGAGAAGGGTCCTGGTGCTGCCTTCTCCTCATACCTTTCATACCACTGCCATCCTCTTGGAAAGTGTTGCGGCTGGAGCCCTGCTCCTCCGTCTGCTCACTGCCAGAGGAGGCCACGCTGCTCTGGGGTGAGAGGGGTGCGTGGTCCGGTGTGGTGAAAGGTGCCCGGGCACTGAGCTCCTCTGAACTTGGCCACTCACCAGGAGCCTGGGGGCTCGTTGGGATGAGTGACATGGAGCGCTTCAGTGGACTAGGGTGGATTTGGCAGGGGAGACCTAGTCAGAGGAGGAAAAGGAAGCTATCAGGCTTGGGGATCTGACAAGAGACCATATTCTCCAGACAATGCCAAAGAGGAAGGACTCTGTGATACAAAACTGCCTAACATAGACATGTCCAACCTGTGGGCCACCTTTTCATCTATTCATTCTGTTTTTGGGGTGGCGATGGCAGATACCGGGTAGTGAATCCATGGCTTCTACACTGATCTACATCACTAAACTTTTTTTTTGGTAGAACTGAGGATTGAATTCAGGACCTTGTGCTTGCCAGGGAAGCGCTTATTCTACTGAGTTATTTCCCCAGCCCCTTCACTAAACCTTTTTTTTTTTTTTTGTGATGTGCAGGATTGAATCCATGGCCTCATGAATACTAGGTAAGCACTATACCACTGAGCTGTAACCCTAGCTCTTTAATTTCTAATTTAGAGAGAGGGTCTTGCCAAGACTGCCCAGGTTTGGTTCCCAGACTGCTGGGATTACACGTGTGCACCACCATGTCTGGCTTTTTTTTTTGGTGGAACTGGGGATTGAACTCAGGCCCTTGCGCTTGCCAGGGAAGCACTTATTCCACTAAGCCATCCCCCTGGCCCCATGTCTAGCTTTTGAAAAATGTTACAATAAAAAAGTATTTTAAACCAGGCATGGGAGTAAATGCCTATAATCCCAGCACTTGGGAAGCTGAGGCATGAGAATCAGTGCCAGCCTAAAGCCAGACTGGACTACACAGTTCAATGATAGCCCAAACTATACAATGGGAAAATGTTTCAAAAATTCCCCTAATTTTTTTTCTTTTGAGGCAGGGCCTTGCTGTGTAGTTCAGGCTCACCTTGAGGTCACTTTGTTGCCCTGGCTGGTACTGAACTCACAATGATCCTCCTGGCGCAGCAGCCTCCCGAATGCTGGGACTATAGGTGTGCACTAACATGGTTGGCAAAACCCCAAATTTTATTTTATTTATGTATTTGATACAGAGTCTACAAGGTCTCACTACATAGACTGGACTCGTAGTGATTCTCCTGTTTTCAGCCTCCTGGCTGGCCCAAACCCCCAAATTAAAAAAAAAAACAAACATTTTTTTTGCAACTTTTATGCATTAACTATATATGTTCTATACAGAGTTCAAGATAATTCTTCCTCACCTAAAAAAAGAGGTGGGGGGACAAACAATGGTGAACTGTATGTAGGTTAGGCATGCCTGGCCTACTTGATACTGCTTAATTCCTCACCCACTTCTCTGAACTCCCTTGCTTCCTGTACTAGCTCCTGGGTTCAAGCCCCCAAATCCCTTGCTGGAATTACTGCTACAGCCATTATTCTTTTTTTTTTTTTTAAATTTTTTTATTTATGTGTGTGTGTGTATTTGTGTGTGTGTGTGTGGCCAGCTCAGCCCACCAGGGGGCGGGGCTGGCTGGCATGTGGTGCTGGGGGATTGAACCATGGTCCCTGCGCTTTGCTAAGCTTGTTCTAAGTAGGTGCTTTAGACCACTGAACCATCTCACCAGGCCCATAGCCATCATTCTTGATTCCCATAGTCTCATTCTTTTACCACCCTGACCTTTATGAAAATGCAAATCTGAATCTGTCCCCAGTGGCTTCCTTTACAGAACAAAACCCAAACTTTTCCACACATCTTTTTTTTTTTTTTGCGGAACTAGAGAATGAACTCAGGCCCTTGCGCTTCTTAGGCAAGCGCTTATTCTACTGAGCCATCTCCCTGGCCCTCTTCCACACATCTTAAGAAGCCACAGAGGCTGGGGAGATGGCTCAGTGGAATAAGCGCTTCCCTGGCAAGTGCAAGGGTCTGAGTTCAATCCCCGGTTCCGCCAAAAAAAAAAAAAAAAGAAGCCATAGAAAACCTTGACATTGGGGCTGGTGAGATGGCTCAGTGGTCTAAAGCACCTACTTGGAACAAGCTTAGCAAAGCACAGGGACCACGGTTTAATCCCCAGCACTACATGCCAGCCAGCCCCGCCCCCTGGTGGGCTGAGCTGGCCACACACACACACATAAATAAATAAAAAATTTAAAAAAAAAGAAAAAAAAGAAAACCTTGACATTTAGCCTAACATCTTCATTTTTTTCCCTGTGCTGAGCCCAAACCTGGCTACTTACTGTCCTCCCCCTTTTTTTGAGACAGTTTCCACTATGTAGCCCAGGCTGGCCTCAAACTCACAATCCTCCTACCTCAGCCTTCACATGCTGGGATTATGGCTCGTGCCACAATATTGGCTATTTCATTTGAGGTACGCAGAAGGAGCCAAACTTTCCCTGTAGTGAAGGAGACTGAACTCGGGATTGTGAATGCTAGAGAAGTGCTCCACCACTGAGCTATACCTGAAACTCTCCAACCTGATTTTTAGCCAAGACAGGGTAGGTTCCCATGAGATCCAGACCTTTACCCAGGTTTTTGCTTTCTGCTCAGTCACTGCTCTTCCATCCCTCTCCACCAGCTGTTTCTGCTTTCATGCCTTACTCAAGTGTCCCCTATGCAGCTGACTCAAGCCTGGCACTTGTCTTCACTGGCCAGCTTCTTCTAATGAACTGTGGGCTTGTGCAGGATGGGAACCCAGCCAGTCATTCCTGCATCCCCAGGGTTAGATGCAGGGCATGACATACAGAAATTCTCCAACCAAATTTTATAAAGAACAAGGTGCTGAAGGGCCTGCGAGTTTAATACAGGGAACATAGTGGCACCTCAAATATCCTAGGGCAGTGGTGGTGAACCTATAGCATGCGAACTGCAGCAGGCTGTTTGTTATCATTGAAAGCTCTAAAAGTTTTTGCCATCATTGGCCTAGAGAAAAAGAAAAGGACAAAAAGCCAAAAAAGCCTGGGTAGGTTAAGACATCAAGGCCTAAGAAGCTGAAGTCCTCTGTCCCAGTTCCCACAGGGAGTCCTTGTTTCTGATGGAAAGGCTGGGGATTCTGCCAGTGCTCCACTGACACTCAGCCCAAGGAGGAGGGCCAGTGTGGTACAAGTCTATGGCACCTTCTGTCACCATGTGTGACAATACTGATGCTCCCAGCCAAGAAGTCACAGAAGGCAGTACACTGACCCACACTGTACGGCCATCCTCAGCTTCTGACCAAGACCACTGGAGTTTGCTACTCAGGGCTCCTCCAAGTCTCTGGACACCCTCAGTCTTGGATCTGCCCCCGTTGGGAATCTTAGAAGATGGCACACTGGGTCCTGGGGTGTGTGGGTGGGGGTGGTGCTGCAAACTCAATACAGGCCTTTGTGCCTGTCCTGGTGTTTCTGGTCTCCTCCTTCCTCCCTTCTCAGCCAAGAAGGGGGGAGTCAAGGCTGGGAGGGCAGGAAATTACCCTGACTGGAATAAGATTATGTAGTTCCTGAGGAGTCCTGTTTGGCCCTGCACTGGGGTGGAGGCTTAGCTACAGCCTAAGAATTATAAAAACAGGAATGCCGGCCAGAAATCTAGGACCTTGCACTCTCCAAGAAACCCTGGTCTATCCTTGGCAGCACCTCAAACCTACCCAGTTAGCCTTTCCAAGCCAATCCTTGCATCCCACTCAAAAAATATTTTAATGTTTTCCTGTTTCCTGCTACTGCCTGAAATCCAAAAGCTTTGTCCTATCCTTCAACTCCCCCTCTCTTGCCTGTGGCCCTAAAACCTGAGTTCAAATTTTGACTCTACCACCTCTGAACTGAGAACTCTTGGCCAGATAAATTCATTCACCCCCTCCCCCATGTCCATTTCCACATGAAGCCCTTGGAACACTGATAGGCATGTGGTAAGCATATCTGCTGCTATAATTAACATAAACACCTATCAGCCAGACTTGTACACCTTTCCTTCTAATTTGGCAGCCTCATGGCCTTGATTTGTGCTGGGACCTCAGTGTCAAATGTCCAATTCCTTCCTGTTTTGGTCCAAGACACTCTCCAACACTGTTCAAGCTTCCTTCTTTAAAGCTAGCGGGGGTCCTAGAGGTATAGCTTGGTGGCCCTGGGTTTGATCCCCAGCAGAGTCAAAAGGAAAAACAAACAAAAAGACCGGCTGGTGAGATGGGGCTTGGTGAGATAGTTCAGTGGTCTAAAGCACCTACTTAGAACAAGCTTAGCTAAAGCACAGGGACCGCGGTTCAATCCCCCAGCACCACATGCCAGCCAGCCTCGCCCCCTGGTGGGCTGAGCTGGCCACACACACACACACACACACA